AAAAAACAAAAAAATTCAATCATGGATTACAAAAAAATAGATCAAGTATTACAAAAAAAATCTATCATGGATTACAAAAAAGAAAAAAAAGAAAAAAAAAAAAAAAAAAAAAAAAAAAAAAAAAAAATAACCATACGGCACTCGCCGATTCTTTGTACGGACTCGCCGATTCCGTACAGTGAATCGGCGAGTCACTGTGCAGAATCGTCCGGTTCTCTTTAGAACCGAGCGATTCCCGTTTTTTTCGCCGATTCGATCCGTCCATGGCGATTCCCGAGTCAAACCGGGCGACTCCGGTTCGACTCGGCGTTTTTTTAAACACTGAGTAAAACCAATGATATGAGACCAGATATTGAACCAGGAAAATGTGGGGTCTGGTTTTATTTGCTGTGGATGTACTCCCCTAACTGGTTTAACTAGTCCAAATTGGTCAGTCCCTGAGTAATTCCAAAACCTTACATTGAAGAATCTACATTTAAGAGAAACCAGTTTTAGTGGACTGAATTGCAAGGAGTTTGGTTATACTGAACCTAATTTCGTTCAGTTGTTGAGTCTGGTTCGAATAACAATGACACAAACTGATAACTGTCGGTTTTTGGTGAAAATCTTTGAGATTCAATGCAAAATAATTAAAGAAAGATTAAAAGTCAAACGAAGTCTTCGAGTTCTTAATACTACTTTTAATATGTCTCCCTTGTCATTTCCATATGAGCTTGGAAATAAAATCCCGAAGTTTGGTGGAACTTATTTATGCTTCCCTTTTCAACTACGGGTCTTACAATGAGTCCAAAGGCTATCCATTTTTATCAAATTCAGAAATGTTGCTAATTTGCAAGCAAATATATTAAGATCCTCAACAAATCTAACCACTAAGAAAGCAATTTTTGGTTTTTGAAATTCCTGACAATGGAACTTCACTTTCAATGGTTGTACAGAGCATGATTGGACTGATGGTGGAGTGTGGCATTTCTATGTTAGAAGGGTGGGAAAGAAGAGTTGAAAGAGCGGGCGGAGTTGGAGCACTAAGGGTGGACGAGGATCTGAGAAACTTCTCCGCCGATGTGTTCTCAAAAACATGTTTCGGGAGTAGTTACGAGAAAGGGCAGGAGATCTATCATCGACTAAGGTGCATTCAAAGGGCCATGGCTAAGCAGGGTCTCCTTGTTGGAGTTCCTGGGATGAGGTAAACTCTCAATTCCCTTACTACAAAACCATTTATCCAGCAAACACAAATCTTGTGCTTCATTCAGTTTAATAGCCCACTAGATTCCTGTGCATTGTTTTCCATGTTTATGGATGAAATAAGAGTTATCGAAAACCTGAGTCTCATTATCCCAGTTACCAAGTAAGATTATTTATGGATTTACAAAAAATGTTATTCCCTATAATCCCAATTACCAAAGTAAGATTGTTTGTTGGTTTACAGAAAACATTATTTCCTATGTGCATGAAAACTAAAGCATTTGGGACATGAATCAAGGCCCACATTTCCTTTGTACAAGAATAACGCTCCATGTGCTTAATGATTTGTTTATGTGAGTCATGGCAGGCCCCAAAATCAAAATCACTTCCTCGCCAAATTCCTAAAATAGAAATGATACCTACTTAGACATAGAAATCAGTTAACAACATGTGCTATTTGGCTACTAGGTTTATTCCCAATACGATCAACCGTGAAATTTGGAAGCTACGGCGAGAGGTGAGATCGATAATATTGAAAGCTTTGAAGGAACGCATGGCAGAACCGAAGGCTGCAGCTGAGGACGATCTATTGAAAGCCATCTTAGAGAATAGCAAAGCCGTTGAAGCTCATGCTACTCCTGATGACATTAACAACCTCATTGTAGACAACTGCAAGAATCTCTATTTTGCAGGGCATGAAACCACCGCTTCAGCTGCATCGTGGTGCCTCCTACTGCTTGCCATGAACCCAATATGGCAAACAAGAGTTCGCGATGAAGTGGCAGAGGTCTGCAAGGGATATTTACCTAATATTGAGATGCTCCGCCAGATGAAAATTGTGAGTAGAAATCATTTTTATTTACATATGTTGGGATTTCTCGTGGAACTATAGCCATCTAAACCATTGTTTTCTATGAAATGCAGTTGACTATGGTGTTGCATGAAACAATGCGTCTCTATGCTCCAGCAGCATTTATGATCAGGGAAGCATTTGTAGACTTGCAATTTGGAGGCATTCGGATTCCAGCTGGGACCAACCTCTGGATTCCAGTTTCAGCATTGCACCATGACACTGAAATATGGGGCTCTGACGCTCATATTTTCAACCCCGAGAGGTTTGCGAATGGGATAATTGGCGCCTGCAAAAACCCTTATGCATTCCATCCTTTTGGCTTTGGTTCCCGCACTTGTGTGGGCCAAAACTTCGCCATGGTAGAACTGAAGATTGTGATTTCTCTGATAATATCGAAATTCAAGTTCAGCCTCTCTCAAACATACTGTCATAGCCCAACCTTCCAGCTAGTCGTGGAACCTGCAAATGGACTTCAACTTGTAATGGAGAGAGTGTAGTGATAATCATTAAGGGTCAGTTTGATTCGAAAATAAGTTTACGAAAATTTTAAAATTATAATTTAGTTAATTGTAGATTGAAAAGTTCTGATTTATTGTGGGGTTGTTTGATTACTCTAAGGTGATATGTAATAGAGGAACTGTCAAATTAAACAGCTGTTCAATTATCTTTACAGATAACAATTCTGCATTGGTGCCACTGATGGAACTTATGTGCCTCACTGTAACAAATTTTACCCTAACTCACCCTAATCTCCAATATCATATCAAATTCACATTCAAATTGCTTTTATAGCAAACTTGTAAAGTAAAAGATTGGATATCTGAGAGAGAGGTTGTAGGGAGAGAGAAGGTTTCAGGTTTGGTTGGGGGAGTGAGATCTGGGTAACATTTGCGGCTCTCTCTCTCTCTCTTTTCTATTAACTCAAAAAAAAAAACAGTGAGATCAATAAAAATCAACACTAACATAAACCTAGGATATTTCTGCACACCACTGGACATATACATGCTTCATAAAATCTTATATTTAACTGCTCCCTTGCATTAAACATATTTAAGCCTTCCCATCGGTACACCCTGTTCAGTTTTTGTAGCAATTAAAAGCCTCATGAGAACTTGTATTCAACTATTTGATACAGTGAAACATAAATACAGTAGTCCTTGTGGACCAAGATAGGCAAATACTATTTGTCTATACTCAGACTTAGGTTGACGTGACAGGACAGTCGAGATGGAAAACCATTATTACCTGGGCATAAAACAAAACCGATGAAAGTTTGTGGGTTCATTCCTTGAAGAGGTCGGAGTTGCCTAGGAGAGTGAGCCAAGAGGCTGTGTGACCCTAGTGTGTCATTATAGGCCGTTAAAGACGACGGCCAAAGCCTCATCACTGAAGCATCACACGGCATGTACATATGATAGCCGTATCGGGAAAGCGAATCACCATTGAGGGTGATGCATATATAGAAATTACCTATATACACCATAGAGCTATGATTGCATTAGGTCTGTGTGTCCTAGGACTCGTTTTTAGAGAAGAATCTGTAATCCATAAACTGAGATCGTGTCCCATTGCCTATTGGGTGACTTTCATAACCCAAGCATGAAACTCTACAGTGGTCTATGTGTTAATATGAGAAAGAAAATATGGATTATAGTCCACAATAGAAGATGGAGTGCTTCAACGATAGATCTAATTGGATCTAATTTGTATAAAATTATTTGAAATTAATTATTTTAATATTAAATGATTTTAAGATTGACTATTTGAATTTTTGTGAGTCTCTAGAGATATTCAATCTTTAGTTTTTAAATATTCAAAGAAAAATAATATTTAATTTTAATATTCCTAAATCACCTTTTGAATTTTATAGTTCACTAATTATATGGGGGCCCACCATGAGCTATGGGCCACCATAAAATATATCATGTGGGAAATTTATGTGGGGCCCACATGATGCTACCAAGGGTGGAACGGCCCACCTATAGTGAGTCATACTTTATATTTTGTTATAAGGCCACAAAAGGCTTGCAAATATGTTGAAATAATATATGATTTAAAATTTTAGAGGATTAATTGCAATTAATTATGTTTAATAAGATTATGGAAAATTGTATGATTGATAATTTTTTTTAGGTTTCATTATTTGATGGAATTAGGTTTAGAAAACCAAAAGATAAGGTTCTAGCAACTTCATTTGAATCATGATAGTTAACTGGATAGCTCATATCTCTCCCCGCACAAGTCTTAAATGATCAATGGAATGGATCTAATCTCCATACTCTAACCCCCTAGAAACTTTATAAATAGGGACTCTCCCATTACCAAATCACTACACCTCTCTCATCTAATTCTCTCTAGCCCCTCTCACCTAGGGTGCTACGCCAGGCCCTAGGCTTTCTTTCTATGTCATCTCTCTTAGTAATATAGTAAGAATAGGGGGCCACACCCCAAGATATGCTCACGAGGGGCTTTGCCCCACTCACATAGATTGCCTAAGGGATTGAGGCCTTGACTTGGTCTTAGTTGTTGCATGCTTTAATAATTATTAAGAGTTGCGGCTTTGGCTTTCCTAGAATTTGTAGATTTGAGATAGACCATTGATCACTTGTACCATTGAAGGAAGAGATTGGGTATGGAACATAGTAAGTCTGGTTGAGGTAATTTTCTGACATCTTACTTTATTCTTTACAATCTTTTTTATTTCGTGTGTATTTTTACTCCCATACTTTTATGTTAATTTTTTATTTATTGAATAATAAAAGAAGTTTTAATTAGTGGCAACAAGTGAGAACCTATTTTAGTTATTTTTTTTGTTTATTTTGAGAAAAATTTATTGTACTTAGGCCATTCTAGGAGTTTTAGAAGGTGACAAAAAGAAAAATTAAAAACCATATAAACTGTGCTAGATTACCTCGTCTAACTTTCACACTTTCTACTCACAAGTCTTCCATTTTTCCTGAATTTCATCGCCATGCCACTTAGGCCAATGCCAATATCCCCTTAGGGAGCAAAAACCTGGAATCATCAAAAATGAAAACAGTGAAAATGAAAAGCAAAAGCCTGGAATCGCAACTGATGGACGTCTTTAAGTTTGATTTCAGTGATTGCTTCTCTAATGATCGAGACGTTCTTCTTCCTCGGTTTTAAAGAGAGAAACGTATATGGATTGGGTTAAAAATTGTAGGAGCGGTAAGTGGAGAGAGAAAGAGTATTGAAGTAAGGGTAACGTAATAGAGATAGAGAGAGTTACAGGAGCGAGGAAGAACAGCCCACTTCTTTTCTTGAGAAATGGAGCATGCCGATTTCGGTTTAGGCATTGTGAGTTATACAGGTAAGGAAAAGTTTATATAAGGTTGCAATTTTAGAACGTAAAATTAAAGATTCACCTCAAAAAAAATTTTGGATATTGGAAAACCCTCTAATTAATCATCTCAACATCGAGATGTATGTCTATGAAAAGAAAAAAAAAGATTTTGAGTCTTTAAAATAATGTAACTTGCAACACATCTGAACTGTCCATTTTCAAGATTTTCATGTGTTTATAAATTTACTTGATTTAACTATTTTTAGAGTTTAAAATTTCATAATTAGAAATGGAAGTAGATTCTCAAGACATCTTAAAAATGTTTGATACCATATTTATGATAAAATTTAGAGGTGGTCAGTAATTGGATTGTTTAAGATTAGACCTTATGAAAACCACACCCAGTACAGATAAAGATAGTGGGAAGAAGAGGGAGATCCCACGCCTGCCGATTGTAATTTGGGGCTCTTGTCAAAAATGTTAAAGATGGAAGGAAGTCATCGAATGGGGCTATTGTTCACATTTGTCAAATGTTTTGGGGTTCTTTTGTAATTACTAAAAATAAATCATATAAAAAATTGTGAAGAGCATTTGGGCCTAATTAAAATTTTCCTTCCTAACTTAGAAAGGTAAGGTTTTCTTTTTAGTTGAAGGGAGAAAGGGGATGGGATGAAGAAGTCGCTTGCTGCCCCTCTTTATGGATATATTATGTGAACTTGTGTTGCTCTCTTTTTTAGATCATCTACTATAGAGAATCACGATGGTAAACCATAGGGTTTTGGTGAATTCAAATAGGTATTTTGGTGAGGAATTCTCACCTGTTTTCTCTATTGAGGTACCAATTGTATTTTACATTATAAATTTTCATGTCATATTGGGTTTTTATTTACCCCTTTCCCGTAGACGTAGCCCTAGGTGGTAAAAACAGAAAATTTGTTGTTGTAGTTAGTTTTGCACTTTTCTTGTAATTTGGTTATTCCTTCTCTTATTTACTTTTTCTAATTTTATTTCAAATGATTGCTTTGATTTGTTATTGGGTCATCAATTTCACATGCTTCGGGTTTGAATGTGTATTATACAGTGATTAGTTTATTTTTGGGGTTTCATGTATTTGAATTCCTAGTAAGTGATATCAAAGCATCGGGTTTTGTGCAATATTTTTAAGGAGATGACAAGTAATTCATTTGAGGTGGAGAAATTTAATACACAACATGCATTTGAGATATGAAAATTAAAGTTTGCTATATTTTAGTACAATAAGAACTATACAAAGTGTTGCTCAAAAAGGAAAAGAAGATGGAAGGAAACGGACCTTAAGGCTATGACTACAATCTGATTATGTTTAAGGAATAACATCTTATTCAATATAGTTGGAGAAGAGACAACAAAAGATTTGTAGATGAAGTTGACGTCGTTACAAAAACAAATATCTTGCAAATCATATTTTACTAAAGATTAAAATGTTTTATTTAAGTATCAAAGAGGGGATAAAGGTTTCCGATTATTTGAATGCTTTAAAAAAAAAAAACTTTATGATGTTGAAAATGTTGATAAAAAAATGAAAAATGAGGATAAGATGACAATTTTCATTTTTACTTTACTAGAATGTTAAGGTAATTTAATGACAGATATTAAGTGCATTAAAGAAGATTCACTTGACTTGAGTATGGTGTGTAGCACTTTGCTTGTCCACAAACTCCAGAAAAAAACACATATTCGAGAATTAGAATTTAGAGTTCATATATTAAGGGGTTATTCAAATGAAAGAGGTAATTCTTCCTGCCCAGGCACTGTGCATGACTAAACTCCTTAAAGGGGCTAGCCCAGACTAGATGGGTGAGATGTGTGTATGGAGTATAATGGGTGTGGTTTAGGAGGTGTAAGGTATGGTGCAGGATTAAGGGTATGGATATGGAGTGGGATAGGATGGGGTTAGATGATTGGGTTAAGGTAATATGGTTAGGTTAACATTTAGGCAATTCTTGGTTAGGGATTAGGTTAAGCTAACTAGAGATAGTAAACCTAGAGTTAGAGGAAAAGGGAGGAACTCTTTTCACAAAATGTTTATCTCTCTTCTTTTCAAAGTAATAGAGTTTCAATAATACTCGAAGCAAAAGAGATCTTTACTCCTTTTTCAAAGCCGTCCTTTAACGTTTCAATCCTTTCCAACCTCTTATAAAAGTTACATATGGTGGGATTTATATAGAGCTCCTCTTTTGAACTAGGGTGGATACTCAAAACTCATGAGAAATATTTGAAAATAAAAATTACAAAAATAAAGGGAAAATTCGGGTAAATGAAAAAATGAACAAAAAGGTCATGTGCAAAACTCATAATTACAAAATAGATCCATAAAAAGGGGCCTCTTCCATCCACACAG